AAAGATAAGCTAAGCAAATTATCAATACACATGATTTACGTGGTTGACAAATTGCCTACTCCACGGGCGAGAGTAAAGTTTTTATTAGCTTGATTGTGGGAGAATACAAGAATCCTAGATGCTTAATACAAAGTCTCTGTCTTTCACTCAATTTCTTAAACGGAGACATAATGAAGTTCAAATACTTCATACCTATATATGAAAACACTTGATGAGCTAAATATATTATTGACCCATAAATTCAAATTATATATATAGATATAAACACACATTTAAAACCTACATGTGTGAGACTTTATATGCAAGAATTAGACACTATCTTAACTTAAATAATATATAAATACCTTAAATTTATTATTTTTAACCGATATGAGATTTTCTACTCACATATGAAATTTAACGAGATATATTGAAATTATAATATCTAATTAAGATAGTTAAATTAAAAAAGAACAAACGTTGTTCAAAATTTTCAGAACTAAGTATTTTCACAACTTTTGAAAAATACACTTGAGTGGTGATGCAAGAAGGGTATCATCATGATTTGTAATTTATTTTCAATAATTTTTTTTTCCTTTTTGAGACTTAATTTATAAATGAATATCACATTAAGGTGCAAAACGTTAATATATCCTGAAAGTAAGATTAGGAATTCATGAAGTTGGACTCAGTGTTAGATTCCAACTGGGAACATCTCGTTCGGATCCTAATCAAAGTAAAATTGCCAGGAAAAAAAAAAGAGTTTTCTCATGGATACACCAATTTATTGTTTATTGAATCTTGATGGAGAAAATGCAGGGATTGATTTTTGTACATCAAAACTAAATCTCAATCCATAGAGTTTTTAGTAAACATATTCTTAGGATAAGAGTTTGGACATGGTGGAGTTCTTATAACAAGGAGTGAACTGAAAGCAACCACTACTGCTTCTTTCAGTAGTACTGTCTTATTACGAAACCAAGTTTTTCATTTGATTAGAAGTAGTTGAGGTAAAAGCTGAAACTGCCATGGTGAGCATTTTCCGAGTAATTTCTGATGGTCCCAACCGTACAAAGACATTTCACTTCTGCAACACTTTCCTGGAATTTTCTCTAGCTTCATGGGCACAAGCTATTTCTAGGCCCCTCGCCACTACTCACAGTCGCCCACATGAGCCATTCCTAACCCCACAAAAAAATAAGCAGTTAGTGACAAATGAGTCCAAACGAGATACCGTAACGTACTCCACAAAACATGAAATATCATTAAAAAAGATTATCGTCATTTTACCTTAGGATTATTGGACATATTTAGTCATAGAGAAAAGAAAGATTATGAAAGGAGGCATTATCTATGGAAGCTATATTCGATTAATTATTGGGATTATTGTGTGTGTGTGTGTGTTTTTTTTCTGTTCAATATTTAATTAATTAAGCAGTTTAATTAAGTTTAATCAATTACTCAAAGCTTGACATGACATGCTATGTTGAAAACACACATTTATCGGTTTGAAAGTTAACTAGCTTTCTTGGTGAAGTAACGTGATGGTTTAAAACAATAATTGAATAAAGCTTTTACTTAGAAGTTAAAAAAAAAAGGAAAACAACTCTTGTTGAGCAATTCAATTATTATTATTATTTTTTTTTATGAACGTGTAACCAATAAACTTAAAAAAGACTAAAAACAAAACAACAGAATACATAAAAATAATATCTCTATATGGTTGATCCTTTTACATTCAAATTTATATGTTATTTTTTTTCTTTTGAATTTCAATTTATAAAAAGACACAAGAAATGATTTCCTTTAATTTTTTTTGAAAAAGAGGTGATTAATCACGTGGTTAATTAGAGGGTGAAGATTAGCTATGCATTATGCCGATTATAAAATGGGTGATGATGTTGAGATGGACGTGGAAGTCAATCTTGCTACAAAAACTTTTTATCTTTTACTATGAATTATGTATTAATCTATTATTAGAAGATATTTGTTGAGTTACAATTTTCTAGAAGTTTACCCTTTTTTTTAAAAAAAAAACCAACAAATGTTAAAAAATCATTTAATGGAAAAAAAAACAGCCTTCTCTCTCTTTCTCTCGATAAAACACTTTTTTTTAAAACCTTAGTTTGAGCTGTCGCAAGGTAAAAGAAGTGGACGATAATCTTTTTTATTGTTTTTCCTTGTCTTCTTTTATAATTCTTTTTCTTTTTTATTTTCGACTGTTGGATCTTGATATTTTCATTGCTAATTTTTAGGTATAATTCTCTTTGTGAATGTGAATGTGAATGAATGAGAGTTTTATATTGACCTATGATAACAAAAAATTTATCGCCATCTTAATGAAATTACTGATTTTTTCAAAAAAAAAAAGAAAAGATAAAAAGAATAGCATTGATTTATCCTTCCTAACTAATCAATTAAAAAATAAAAAAACAATTTTTTAATAAGAAACAAAAATAGAAATAGTAAAAGAAAGCACGAGGGTAATAACAATAATGATAATAAATATTAGCAAAAGGTTGGCTTTAAGTTTAAAAAAATTTGCTTTCTTCCCTAATTTTTTAGATTTAAACATTTGAACAAATATCTATGAGAATTTATTAATTTTTCTTAATCTATTAAAAGATTTAGTTTTATTTAACATATAAATTAGCTTGAAAATATCTTTACCATTGAAAAAAAAGTAGAATTTCTTTACCAAATTTTAAAGTTTTATTGATAAAATTGACAATCATTTGTAATTCATAATTTTAAGCCAAACCATAATCTCTAGTGTGAAGTTTCACCCGACTAAAATACTCTGGAATAAAAGGAACCGAATATTATTAAAAAATATCTGTCACGTTTAAAAACAATTATCTATTCAAGACTAAAAGAAGTCTTCATCGAAGGTGACATCTTTTCTTTTATCTTGAAAAGTAACTTCGGAATTGGGAAGAAGAGTAATTGTCAAATATCATTGATCGTGGAGTTCTTTTCAGTTTTTTCTTCTTCTTCTTCTTTTTTTAATAAAAGAGTTTTTTTTTTTTTTTTTTAAGTTAAAGTTTCAATAAATTACGATAGTAAAATAAATGTATTTTAGTCTAATCAAATGTTTTGAGAGAATTCATTATTTTATATATAGTTATTATATATCATTGATATTATTATTATTATTATTATTAAATCATGGGTAGGTAGCACAAAACCAGTTATTTTCTGTAACCTACGTTTTTGTTTGTTTCTTTTTCACAGAACGAGTATTATTTTTGCAGAACAACTTTTTTTTTTGTTTTATTTTTTCCTAGTTTATCTTTTTAATCCGCTGTAACATTTTATTATATCTGAAGGATTCAGTCCAAGTATTTTCAATCCCCATCCTAATCTGCTTAGCATATTCGAATGATATTAATATTTTTAATTTATTTCTAATAATATGAATATATTTAAAGACGCATAATTGATTAATAATACCTTGGCATATATATTTGCTTTTATCTATGTATGTATATATTGATAAAGTATTAACAGATAATAAATACTTTTAATTATACCGAACATATTATATATATTGCGCTACATCGAGACTCGCAGTTTCGATGATTATCAATTAAATAGGAAAACTATCTCATATTTTATTTATTTAATGAAAAGAAAACCTACAGCGGAGTATATACTCAAAGGAGAGAAAAAAAAAATTATTTGTTTCTCTCTCTAAATCTTGAGAAATCTTAAACTCTCTCTCATCCTTAAAAAACAAAGAAAAGAAAGAAACTCTCTCAATTATGAGAGGAGAAAAATTAGAGCATAGCAGCAGCACATGGGAAAAACGAGTGGTCATGTTCTGTCTGGTCTCTACTTTCTATGCTGGCTCTATAAATAGTACAAGAGTTATGGCCTTCTGAATCATACCGATTCATTAGCTCTCTCTCACTCTCTCCCTCTTTCTCTCTGACGGCCAATCCACTTGCATTCTCTCAACACCATCTTCATTAGCAAAGGCACAGAACCCCAAATTTCCAACTACTCAGGTAAAAAAAAAAAAAAAAGAATCTGAACCTGGTCTTTTTGGCTTACTTTTCTCCCCGCAAATGCATCTGTTTGTGACGAAGATACTTGCTTTTTTGCTTTCAGTGTTAGGGTTGAATCTGAAATGGGTTTGTTTTACCATCACTGAATCCAACCTCTGGTTCTTACCCTGTTATGAATTATTTGTTATAGGGATCTTTGTATACTGAAGTTCAAATCTTTGTTCAAATTAGTGAAATGGGTAGTTGCTAATTCTGAAAATAGCTGCTTCTGCTTGTCTTCTTATGAATTATGGTCATATAATTTCCAGTGGAACTTTTAATTTACCCCAGTTTGTTTTCACTTGCTGGTGTTGTACTAATTTTTTTTAATGGTATGAGATCAGAGGTCAGTTTATTGTTTCTCATGTGCTCTTTCTTTCTTGACTCTACCATAAGTCATATCCTCGGATACTATTATTTTGTTTAATCAAGTAAAATACATGTCATTTTTTTAAGGAATATATTTCTGGGTTAGCTTTCTAAATCTTTTATTTGTCCTGTATTTTGTACTCTTTTTTTTCCCTCTCCTTTGAGTAGGTTCTTTTCACTTGGTAATTATGATGTATAATTCTTGCCTATGTTTCCTTGTTGGTGGGATTAGAATTTGTTGGCTGGGATTCCCTTTTGTCTTTTAGGGGGTAGGTTTTAGCGTTAGCTCTCTTTATTTTTTTCTCTTCACTTGGTTAATTCTACTAACTTTGACAATATTAATGAGATGTCGGCTTAATTAAGTTGTAAATATGAAATTTTTGTAATCTTGGTGTAACGATTTACGTATGCAAATATGTCGGTTAGCGCTACCGATTTGTTTTTTCTTTTTAGGAATTGCTTTACCATGAATAAGTTATCATTTTGGTCCAGTTATGAAGCATTTAATTTAGAACCTTTGTTTCTGTGTTAAATTAAAAGTAATTCTTGTAACCATTGTTTAACTTTTTTCTTTGTCCTCTTATTGATGTGATCAAATACAGAATGGGAAGTGCTGATGGAAGCTATGGCGCTTACACCTATGAGGCCCTTGAGAGGGAGCCTTACTGGCCATCTGAAAAGCTCAAAATTTCCATTACTGGGGCAGGTGGTTTTATTGCCTCCCACATCGCTCGCCGTTTGAAGTCTGAGGGTCATTATATTATTGCTTCTGACTGGAAGAAGAATGAGCACATGACAGAAGACATGTTCTGTCATGAATTCCATCTCGTTGATCTTAGGGTCATGGATAATTGCTTGAAGGTTACAAAAGGAGTAGACCATGTTTTCAACCTCGCTGCTGATATGGGCGGGATGGGCTTCATTCAGTCCAACCACTCTGTCATTATGTATAATAACACAATGATCAGCTTCAACATGCTTGAAGCCTCCAGGATCAATAGAGTTAAGAGGTTAGCTGTTGTGGATAGGATATAGAGCAGTCCTGTTTAATATGGCATGTTCAGAAAGTCTGATGTTTTTCTTTCTGCAGGTTGTTCTATGCCTCTAGTGCTTGTATTTACCCTGAATTTAAGCAGCTGGAGACTAATGTGAGCCTGAAGGAATCTGATGCCTGGCCCGCAGAGGTTGTTTACTCTTTCTAGTTAAGAAGAATTCGATTTACTTGTAAATAATTGGAAAGATTAATGAATATAATTTCTCAACTTGTGTTTTAGCCTCAAGACGCTTATGGCTTGGAGAAGCTTGCAACGGAAGAGTTGTGCAAGCATTACACCAAAGACTTTGGAATTGAATGCCGTGTTGGAAGATTCCATAACATTTATGGTCCTTTTGGAACATGGAAAGGTTAGTTCTTAACAACTGCAATCACTTGCAATATGGAGGGATTTCTTGCTTTGTATTAATTTTGCTGCTTCTTGGATTATTCTAATTTGTCATTTCACATTTCTACCATAGGTGGCAGGGAGAAGGCACCTGCTGCTTTCTGCAGAAAGGCTATCACTTCTACTGATAAATTCGAGATGTGGGGAGATGGACTTCAAACTCGATCCTTCACATTCATTGATGAATGTGTGGAAGGTGTGCTTAGGTGAGCGCTTTATGGTTTTTTCTATGATGTATAATTGAAGCCCTCGCCTTTGTTCTCAAGATACTTGAGTTTGTACCGATATTAATCACCATTCTTGTCATATCCCATGGGTCTGCCAGTATTGTTCTTTTATGACTCACCCAGAATACATTTTCTCTGTTTCAGATTGACGAAGTCTGACTTCCGTGAACCTGTGAACATTGGAAGCGATGAGATGGTTAGCATGAATGAGATGGCTGAGATTGTCCTCAGCTTTGATAACAAGAATCTCCCTATTCACCACATTCCTGGCCCAGAAGGTGTGCGTGGACGTAACTCCGACAACACACTAATCAAAGAGAAGCTTGGTTGGGCTCCTACCATGAAGCTGAAGGTACCTGTATATCAAGATATGATTTTGGCTTATGCATCCTCTGTTTAGCCTTCCCTTTACTTACCACTAAGAAATCTGAATATGCTATAATTATTATGTTGCAGGATGGGCTGAGAATTACATACTTTTGGATTAAGGAACAGATTGAGAAAGAGCAGTCCCGAGGAATTGACTTGTCTATTTATGGTTCTTCTAAAGTGGTGGGAACTCAAGCACCCGTTCAATTGGGCTCACTTCGTGCAGCCGATGGTAAAGAGTGAAATGGTTAAAGCTATGGGTGTCTTGCAGTCAATACTTCACAAGGCCAATTTTTCTTATTATGATATGACAATGATATTGTTGTTGGAATTCTGGAGTCACTGGGCAGTAATCCACATTGTTTTAGTTTCTGGTGTGCACCATGTTGTTGGTATTTCCGGGAACATTTCATCAATCTGGCTTTTCTAGCAACCTGCTACTGTAATATTATGGTGCAGGAATAATAGCCTTGGAACTTGATTTTGTTCCTACAATGAACTATTTATCATTGATCTGTAATGATTTATAATATTTTTTCCATCCATGTTGTATCTTATACTTTCTTAGTTGTAAGCTTGGCCTGTTTTTTAATGCACTTGCTATGCAGTCATCTTGGAATTGGTAACTTCCCTGTTTTAAAACTCAAAACTTGAAAGTGCTGCTTGTGCTTAAAAAGGGCATGTCGCTGCAGAGATGGAATGGTTGTCCACTAGTTGACTACTCGGATTCCGTAACTGGGGATCGATCCTCGTGTTGTTTAAGTAGTAGGTTTTGGATCGGTGGATCAAAATTCCCAACAAAACTTGGCAAAGAAGGTAATTTTCGCCCTCGACAATTGATTCCTTTATGGAGAATGGATGTCCTTTGTTTAGATTCCAATGCACCAGATTTCTTCCGTTCCTTATCGTAATATTTTCTTTTTGTTTTTTATGATGCAGAGTAGATGCTAGTTAGTAGTTAGTTTACATGGTCAAGCTGTATGGCATGGGTTTAGTCGACTTGGCTAGTTTAAGATGGATGGAGTCTGAAATGGAAAATTGTAAGGGAGTAGTTTACCTGCCTCTGGTTATGGCCAAGTTAATTAGACTGGATACTGCTATAACCTTGTAGGCGTTACTCGAGAATAAATCAACGAAAGTTCAAAGGAACAAAAATTTCTTTTTTATCCAAAATATATTAAGGACTTAAATTTGTCAAGCAAATTTTGATTATAGAATAAAATATTTATTTTATTTTATTTTTAAATATGAAAGGAGTTTTAGCCAAAAATTTTAAATTTTTGAATAATATTTATATTTTTTAAATGTCTTGAACGAGTCTAATTTACTTATTTTGTTTTTACAAATGTCTTAATTTGACTGAAAATTCAAAATATAATTTTTTTAATTTGTTAATAAAGATTAAATAAAATAATAATTGAATTTTTTCTAATAAATCATACTCTAAGTTCATCAAACCAACTTCTCCGATGCATTTTAAAAAAGTAAGACATGGATACTATTTTTATTAAAATATTCATATCCATTTTCACATAAATCAAACTTCGCATTAGGTAAAGGTGATTATCAATCTAATTTATTTATTGTAAAACTTGAATCTATACCTAACCTAGAAAAACAACCAGAATTAATACATAATTTAATTAAATCACTTAGATAAGTTTCTATGCACACAAATCGAGATTATACACCTTTCAATTTCTGTCCTTGTCCTCCAATAAATATTTAGGGTATCCACGACAATGAAATTTTTTGCCACCAATTTAATGTGACTAATTCTAGACAGGGAGAGGTACCGACAAAGGCGATGGGTGTGGTTCACAATTTGCAGAGAGGATGATGTCTGATGTTGGTTGATTTAGAAGCGCAATGGACTATGGTTCAAGAGAAACACAGGGAACCCATCTTGTAACGTGGAAGCACAAGACTCCAAAAGTACTTGCTTGATGTACAAACTCTTGTCTCTTGTTTTGTCTATATCCATACCATAATGTCCGAGAATGACCACACTCTGCAATTTGCCCCAATCAATCCACCACATGCACATGGTGTCTTTTTCCAAAAAGTCCTCCTTGTGACTGATAAGCGCTTTATGGTATGGCCAATGAGCTTATCTTGAGCTTTTCAAAAGATTCCCTTATCTCCTAGTCCCTATTGCTACTTCAAGTGATAGGCAGCCATGCAAAGCTTAGCTATTGGTAACCCATTCCAGGTAAGTGGGCAAGTTAGCGAATCGTACGGTACTAAAACGCACAAGGTGAACAAATAAATCCATCTCCACATAATTTTCATAAAGACAAACCGTAAAAATAATTGAAAGCATTGACCACCTAGAACATCAATCAGCAGCTGCGACAACATTGCATCAATTGAACGTAATTTATGAAGATTATACGAAGCATTCTTGCGTAGACTAGAACCATCTGATAATATGCAACATTACACATTGGATGTAAATTAAAAAAAAAACTAAAAATCTGAATAATTTATTATTCATTTAGTGTACAATTACAAATACTTCTAAAACAAACGGCATATTAACCGTACATTTACTGTTCTTTTCACTATTTAATGAACAGTGTTTTTAAAGCTGGGTTCTTTTTTTGTTTCTTGACACTTAGCTGTCAGCTTTTTTTCACACACTATCGGCCTTTCTTCAACTTTTTACAGACAAGGGTTTTTTTTTAAATTATTAAATTTGAAGTAGTTTGGTTCTACTATTCCTGTGGTAAGTGTTTTTTTTTTTTTAGTTTAGTTTCATTGTATATGCTTTTTCCACTTTTGTTTTTTTTTCCATCAATTTAGGCTTTTTTTATTTAATTTTTTAAAATTCTTAGGTCTATTTTATTTTAATCTCTAATATTTTAATTCTCTAACTGATGCATTACACATGGTTTTTTTCCTTTGCTTTTTTCCATCAATTTATGTTATTTTAAAAAAAATCAATTTTGCTTTTTTTCATCAATTTATGTTATTTTTTATTTAATTAGGTGTTGAAATTTTAAAAAATCAATGATTAATTTTTTTTACACAAACTAACTATTATATATATATTCTCATTTGTTAATTTTTATAAAAGCCTATCAATTAATTATAACTTTATTTTTTAGAATACAATATTAGAAAAATTATATTTTAAATTTTTTTTTAATTTTAAAATGAATCCATAAAGAAGAATATTTATTTTTTTAAACAAAAAATTATAATTAAAAAATTAAAAAAACATTTTTTTAATTGGATCTGTAACGTAGCGCCGGAAAGTAACTAGTAACATCTAAAGTCATTGTGAACTGTGAGTCGTGCGAACTATGCAACCTGTTTACTTGTTATTTGCCGTTGGATCGTCCTATGTTTTTTGTTGCTGTTTACTTCCTTTCATCTGGTTTGTTGATTTGGTGTGATCTTTGTTTTAATTTGAGCGGATGATGCTGAGTTTGTGTCTCAATATTTGGATCTTGCGAGTTTTGTATTTGCCGCCCTTAATTTTTCCCGTATTTTCAATTTTTCCATTCCTTTGTTTGTATTGTTATCTTTGCGTGCTTCAAATGTTCTTTCTTTCTTTCTCCTTCTCCAAGTCTGTTACTGTAATTTACTTTCTTGGTTTCAGTTTCAGTTTTTGTGACCGACATTGATGGTACTGTACTATTTTTTTTGTTCAAATTTTGATTTGAGTTAGTACCTTCGTCTCTTTCCAGCACTCTTCTTTTCTTTCTATGTGTTTTAAATAATCAAGCATCGCTTGTATTTCTTTCACATAAGTAAACAAAATTTTTGTTACTTAATTTGAATATATATATTAATTAATTCTTGGAACTTCTATAATAAACTTCTATACAATTGAGTGATGGTTTTGTCAAACTAAGATGGGTAAAATAGGGATATGAATATAATCTTGCAAAGTACAATTGTTTCTTTTAATAAGAAAAAAAAGTACAATTATTTTCATCTATTTTTTATTTTTTTCCATTTTCCATTTTTGTTTGACTTAATTTTTTTCCAGACAAAATATTATGGCGTGGGGCCAGCCATTGAATATGCAGGTGTTGCATTTGATGATCAAATACACCATTATTATTTACATTATTGTTTTTCTATTCATTAACACTACATTATTTGATCTTTCTTTTTTTTTTTTTCTATAATGTTTGCTCTTTGTCCCATTTTTTTTCTAGTAGGACAAGGACGATCAGTGAGGCATGCCTACAGCAAAGTTTCCGCATATGCCTAATTCATGTTACCAAATCTTTTTATTTTCTACTGTAAATTACACAAATCTTCCGAAATATTGTGATATTACAAACATGGTACCAGACGATTTGGAAGTTTTCGAAGAAACAACATTTACTAATTTGAAAGAACTTATTACCCATATTTATGAGTGCACTATGAAAATTCCTTACAAGTTGAATAATTTAAATATACAACCAAAGTAAATTAACATGTAGAGTACTATAGTTTAAGCATTTCCAATATTTTGGGATGGCAATCTCCAATGTGATACCATCGCAATAATGTTTATTTTTTAATGATTGGAAAACGAAACAGAGAAGCCATAAGAAAATTAAAAGAAAGTAAAAAAAATGGAGTTTTGAATAATGATTTTCACTATCCATCTCTTATAAATTTTACTATTCATACACTGTAGTTTAAGATGAATTTTTTTTAATATAATTTTTTAATTATTTTTAGATATTTATATTCAAAGTTTACATCATGTTTTATTTTGATTGTTGAACTTTTAACGTAAAAGTTTTAGTCTCTTAGCTGTTGCACTGAAGCAGGCCTACCCATACAGGCTTGCCTTGGGCCTATAAAAGCTAGGTGACCAAGCCTACATTTTTTTTTTTTTGGTTTTTTTCCTTTGCTTTTTCTCCCATCAATTTATGTTTTTTTTTTAAAAAATTTAATTGGATGCAAAAATTATGAAAAACCAATCTTTATTTTTTTACACACAAGTTGACTATTATGTAATAGATACGATATGTTTTAGATTGTAAAATGAATATATGTTACTCTTATTGTTTAAAAATGAATAAATGATCTCTTCGATTTAACGTTTCTTATAAAAATTCTCTTCAAGTTAATTTATTATTTTTATATAATTTTATTTATTAATAAATATGATTTATTTTTTCTACGTATGGATTCGAATAAGTTTTTTTTCTTAATTCTTATGTAATCAAATTTTAAAATTAGAATTCATGTTTTTTATTTATTCTTTATTCTTTATATAATCATATTTTATCGAAATTAATTTTATAGTTTTTTTATTGCACTCTATTAACTTCAATATATTTTTTATAATTTAATTTTTTTAAAATATATTTTTATTTATGCTACACATTTGCACTCATTGAGTATGGTCATAATGTATAAAAATAGTAATATTAGAGTCATTGATTTCATTGAAAATTGACTATGCATTACACACAACACCAACCATTTGCTATTATTTTTTAATATTTCTTTTTTTCAAATAAAATAATTAAAATAATATTTTAGAAGAACCACCTAATAATTAAAATATAATTTTTTATATTAATATTATTTATTATTTTGTAAATAAATACGTATAAATAAATTTTACATAGTTAAAAAAAATTCTCATTAGTAAACCAAAAAAATTTTCATTTGTCAATTTTCATTCAAGTTTTTATATTAATTATTACTTTATTTTTTAAAATATAATGTTACGAAAAAATATATTAAGATGCTTTTAAAAAAATTATATTATATTTAGTTTATTATGAGTTTTATTTAAGAATAAATACATAAGAAAGAAAAATCAATTTTTTTTACTTCAAAATTTATTCAAAACATATATACACACACACACACACAGATAATTTTGATTAAAAACTACAAAATTAAATAAAATTTTATTTTTTATTTATTATTTATTTTAATTAATTGATAAAATAATATATATTATCAAATTAAAATAACTATATATATTTCGATTCGCATCTTAGCCCCGTATGATCTAAACTATAGAAACCATCAAACCATAAAGCTGAGCAAAAGCACACTGTATCCGCCGTGCACAATGAGAAAATGCAAGGTAATCTGTGTATGCAAAAACGGTGTAGATCAATTCAGCCACTAAAAGACTGATAAGGGTATCTGTGATCACATCAAAGCATTATATAGATATACTAGCACCAAGATATAGGCAAGGTGTTACAATGTGTATATATGTTAGACTGTAAAATATAATCAACATTCATGGACAGTAAAATGCAAAAAGTGAAAACAAGATACTGCACAAACAACTATTTTTTTTTTTTTTAACCGCACAAACAACCAATCCTACCAGCCAAACTACCTGAAATGTGATACCAAATTGCCTCTCTTAACCGTCAAGATCACAGTAGACAGGATTGGCCTCAAGCTGCTCTGCAAATTTCTCAAGAATTTCCTTCACAAGTTTCCTAAATTCATCTTTCCCTTCAGAAGCACCCTTTCCACTGTCTATGTCAGCAAATACAGCATCATATAGTAGAATCACTGCTTCATTGGCTTCTGATGGTGGCAAGCCCAGTTCTTTTCCACTTTTCTCCAGGAAATCCCTGATTATCTCTGTACTTTTCTGGTCATTCTTTCCATCGTGTTTTTTCTGCGATATCTTTGCTATGACTTCAATCAATTTCTTCTCATCGGCCAAAACCTGCAAATGTTTATGAGAGATTATAGCAATTACCATAACAAGGAAAATCTAAATTTTAACCATCCAATTATTTCTACATAGTTCTTGTGCCCATTGTCAATAAATCTGAGCTCGTTCGTTAGTTAGCCAACAAAGCCACTGTCATTAAATTACTTCCACTAAGTTCTATAATTAAAATGCATACTTGATATTTCACTTGAAAAAACAAACAGCTGCATTGTTATATATTTCTCTCACTTGAGTTGTGATTTCCATATCTATGTACCTTTGTAATTTCATGAGTGGTACATGGTTCTCTAACAGCACTCATGTACATCTGAGTCAACTAGTGATTGTCAGAACTAGTAAATAGAGGCATGCTTTCCAAATTTTGCTTGATTTTGGTCAACCTAAACCAGCAATCTGGTCAACGGTCTAACTGGCTGAGCCAAGTTGGGGTTTGAAAACGTTATCCTTTTGTGATCAAGTGAATGAAACCAAATTTATCAGTTTCTTTAGTGACCTCAAAAATATGTACAGACATCCCGAGCACTTCAAAATCATACATCACTAGCAAACTTATAAAACTACATCGAATAAAATTAAGTTTACAGAGAATATCTACATGCTTCTCCATTTCCTGCCATCCGAATAACATATTTCTAGATCTTAATTTGTCAACACAGAAGAGGGCTAAGCCATGAGAGAAAACAGAATTAGAAATTCGTATGGGATCAAACAATGTTAGAAATTTAAAGAGTAAAATGTTAATTTCCCATCGAAAAACTTCAATAAACAGGCATGCAGAGAAATGCCAGCATTTTGGGATAATTAAATCAATGATAAGATGCTGATTATGACCTACCTTTCTTAGCTCAGAACCATTAACTATCTTGATGTTATGGATGACAGCAATATGCTTTTTAGCCAAAGCATCCGCAACTTCTTGTAGAATAGGCTGAAGTAACTCGGCAAATTGTGATTGGCCCAATTCTCCTTCCTCCTCTGCTCCATGCTTTTTTAAAATGTCATTTAGCAAAGGGAATTCTGTTCAACCAGAACATGTATATTCATCAACTTTCATACAATAGAAAACAATTGAGTGAGAAGGAAAGGAATTGGCCATCAATAAAATTAAATTACTTTTGGATGCTAAAGGGAAAAAACTAATACTAATCGCCAGGAGCTAGAACATACTTTGGCTGCTCTAAATCTTACAAAATAAGGAAAATGAGAAGGCAATTACGATCAACATGATTCCAGAGGTCAATTTCACAAATATCAGCCGGATTAGGATCCTCTCATGTTCCTAAAGAAAATCGACCGGTCATGTTCCAAATTTCAAATTTGGTTATGAATTCAATGATTTGGATCAGATGAGAGAAATAAAATAATAAGGAGTTAAGTTGTTTCTATTTGTATTATTACCATTCAATTTGAATTCAATGATATAGATTCAGCCGTCCTGTTCCTAAAGGATACAAATGAAGGTTTAATGAAGAAATTTGGTGAATTTCCATATCAAACACCATCAAAAGCATGAATTAGTCCACCATACAAACTCACCATATTTGAGTTGTTTTTCAAAAATAAAAATATTTTCCTCATTACTTCTAGTAACAATCTGAGTGAGCTTACAAAATTTTCCAATTAGGCAAACTATTCAAAATTAACTAGCCACACTAATCCTAAGATCAAGTAGATTCTTCCAAAAGATCAGAACCTGCTGTGATACCAATGACAAGTCCTAAGGTAGGTAGTGCTCTATCCTCATATCATCACTCATCAGCATCGGCTCAAAATGATTATCGACAGTATGCAGCAAGCTTTCTTTTATTGAAAAAGAAAAACTCAAGGGTGTAATGATCAAAGAGGAAAATTTTAAAAGTCCATGGTAAGCCAACAGTATATGAATTTGATAGGTAGTTTCTTTCATTAAACAAAATGGTGCACCTTGACACAAGGTAGCAGGGCTGTAGGTTTTGAGGTTGCCAATTGAGCAGAAGGCAACTGGTGAGGTAAACTGAAACAGGCAAGAAACATCTTCCTAAATCCTAGTAAAACAAAAACGCTGGGATCTTTGAAAGAGACCAACTAGACATTTCTATCGTGTCAATAGAGCATGACAAAACCAGAAGTGATAAAAGCAGAAAACAACCAAATCTTATGGTGTACTCAAATACTTGCAAAAATTACCAAATTCAGATTTATGTTGCTGTTGACAAAAGGTGATTGAAAAACTAATAGATCAGTGGTTACAGGTTTTAACGCATACGACAGTAAAGTTCATTCCAAGTAAGGGGTATATCCAGCTAAATGCAAGTCCACAACACCATTGACTTCGATTGATGTGTTGCAATTTGTGAATCAAGGAAGCACATGCAACCAGTTATTTCATAATGTAGCTTAATACACACTCCTTATACTCTTAAAGCACCTTAATAACACCAATCAAATAGTTACAAATTATACAAAGATGCATGCACAAATGATCTAATTACAAAGAAGAGGAAAGAGGAAGAAAACCTTCAGGAGGAGGGACACCCATTTCAACTCCCATACTAACAACTGCATTTCTTATCTCACTTTTGCTAATCTTCCCTTTATCTTCTGTGTCCAAATCAGTAAATAAATTCTCTGCTATCATAGCAAAATCATCTTCATCTTCCAAAAACATCCGCAATGCATTCCCATCCAAAATCGACACCACTAATGGATTCTCTAATCCAACGCAGCAAAAACAAATAAATAAATCACATAATAACCTCACAATATCTAAAATAAATAAATAAAAACACATCTGTACTTGGTCGGCTACCAAGATCAATACCTTTGAGTTCATCAGCGATGGCAGAGAGATACTCACTGAGCTTCCTTGAAGCTTCTTCTCGACTGAGTTCTGTTCGTCTGAAATCGACGTCAACGTCAACGCCATCGATGTTAATGCGACGGAGAGCGGAGGACTTGAGGTGTTGAGGCAATGAGAGGCCAAAGAGAGACTGAGATGCTTCGGATTCTGCTAAATCGAGGACCTGACCTCCGGTTAGAGAGACGGTGTCATCCTGTAAGGACACATGGAGCGATCTTAGAGTGTCTCCATCTAGTATCGTTATGCCTCCGTCAGACATTTTGGAGAGAGAGAGAGAGAGAGAGAGAGAGAGAGAGAGATGGGGGAGGGTTTGGAGAGGAGAGGAGAAGACTGTCCAAGGAGGAAGTAGGAACCGAACAGGCCTTGGTTGAAGACTGGGAAAGTCGCGGTGGTAACTGGTAAAGATTTTTTAAGGTGTTCTTTTGCACTTTGATTTTGCTACAATTTCGAAAATGCCACCGTTCTTGGAATGACCAATTAATTTGTGCCTTGACGGAAACGGAAAGACAAAAAAAAGAATTTGTTTCAATTTTTCTTTTTTTGATAAAAAGAATTTGTTTGATTTTCCCTACACAAAAAGGACGATTTTTTTTTTAGGATTTTATATGAAAATTTCCATATTTTCTGTTAGCATTATTGTTTGGATTGCATTATGCCCGTTGATGGAAGAGAGAATGATAGTAAAAAACACACAAATATCGGATGGATAATTTAGTAGTTTTATGCAACTTCTTTAGGTTTTTAATTTTAGAGTTTAATTGTATCCATTTTTGTCTATGTATATTCCTTAAATAAATAGTTTTGCTTTTATAGAATACTTGTATTTAGAAAACAAAAACAGAGAGAGAGAAGATCTTGTATCAATGTATTTGATATATTATGCTATAGTTCATTCAATATCTCTAAAAATAATATCATATAATTAATTTATCATGGTGAATAATTATCAAGAAGAGATTGATAACCAATAGACTTTTAGTTTGGTGTCGGTTGAGTTTATTGCATTTGTAAAAGATAATATATTCAAATATTTTATTTAAAATATTTGAGACTAAAAAAACCACATTACAAAAAGAGATCATTTGCTCTTCATCTTCGTAGTGATAGCCAATTTAGTTTGTCATGATAATATGATCTCCTCTTATGCCTCGTCAATCCCTAATGCTTAACAACTGAGTAGACTGCAAGATGCCCATCAATGCAAAATCCTATTTATGGTAAAAAAAAATGTTATAAACTTCCTACAATCCACTATAATACTGAATTTTATATTTGAATAATGGATAATTTCATTATTAATGATGAAAAAATATTACATGGATCTAGTTTATCATCTAAAATCATACATCAAATGGATTGATTTTTTACATCATTAAATTTGTTTATATCATTTTGTGATAGATGCATTATTGATTATTTTATTCCATAAGCATGGATATTCTATTAAATGTAAAAAAGATTAATATTTTAAATGTGATTTACTAAATAAATGATTTAGATAGATTTAAATATTTGTAATATTTCTATTGATTTGATCCATAATCTTAGTTGTGGAAGACGAAGTTCATGTAATAATTTCTCACTAATGACCATTAAATTACATCTATTTTTTATTTAATGAAATCACATCTAATTATTTAAAAGATGAATTAATTTTTTTTCTAATGAGTAATTTAAAATCTATGTCTAATTTAATAATAATAAAAATAATATCCAATTTTAACATTTTCCACGTCACATACCTTAAAAAAAAGCACTTATCAAGTATTTGATTTTACTATTTTTTTATTAATGTGTTTTTAATAGATTTTTGACACCAAAAAAAAAAAAAAAAAAACCGAGACTTAGAACTTAAGATTTTAATGTTAAGAGTATCACTAAACTAAAAAAAAACTTATCGGATTTCACTTTTTTTTCTATCACAAAGGATTGATTCAAGTGATGAATAAATTTTTTATTAAAAAAAAACAAGAAAAAAAGTGATGAATAAAATACTCATTCAACTTTTACTAGATTCTTAAAAATGGGACATATTTACATTCGATTAATTTTATTCACATACATATTTGAAATTTTAATCTTGATTTAGGATCAATGAGAATCTATTTAATATATGGAGATATGGATTGGACACAATATTTTGATACATATATATTGAGTTCATCTATATACCATATTTTGTGAAAAAGACAACTGTTTTCCTACAATTTTATTAATTTCATCGCGTGGTTTCTTAAAATACTTACGGAATGATGATGCAAAGTGGTAGATTGAGTTTGGGTTAGGATGGTAATTCAGTGGAGAAGCGAGGGCAAAAGTATAGAAAGGGTTGAGAACGCGGGACGGAGGATTTAGTGGGGCCAGTAGGTGGGTTTAGTTGGGACACCTCATGAGATTTTTCCTGTGACGACGCGTATGGACCTTTAAACACTTAATTTCCTTCCAAAAGCATTGGATTGGGTCCTTTATTTGTTTCACCGCTTGATTTTCTGAAGTTGGCAAAAACGTTCCCATATTATTAATGAGAAAAAAAAAAAAGTAAATTCAAGAACTAAATTAGAAAAAAGAAACTCATGGAGAAAATTATTGCAAACAGAAACAATTTAAAGATTTTATGGGACAAAACTGGGGCAAATTATGCACTGGTGAAGTACAAGAAAAAACTAAAAATTTAGTTAAGTGACAACTTAATTATATGTAAGAGGTTTACAAAAATGGATCCAAAGCCTTTTTTTCCCCCCATTTGAACACCATAAACATAAAAATCCCATCATACCATTTGAACATCACCTAAAGACATTGATTTCATATACGAGGCATCTTCTGCTTCAAAAACTGAATTACTCTTGGCATTCTCAAATGTCTCCTCGTCATTCCACAATGCAAAAGCTTCTTCTCCATGTATTGCATCATCACCAATTTGCAATTCTTCATCAGACAACCTTAATGGAACAAACAGCGCAACAAACCAACAAATCATGCTTGTAGTAGCAATGTTTATAATTACAACAAAAAGAATTCCTCCTAGTTGAATTCCCATTTGTCGAAATCCGGCAGAAGTTCGACCGTTTTGGAGACCATAGCCTAAGCCAATGTATTTTTCCCAATCGGACACCATGTAAAAAAGGCGACATAATTTAGGAACGGCGAAGAAACCGGTGAGGATGCCTCCTAGGCCTCCGGCAACGGCGTGCGTGTGGAATATGGCCATAGGATCGTCAACTAGTCTTAAAAACTTCACCTTTTTGTGTAGAACCATCATTGTGTACCATGGAACACTTCCTGATATAATTCCCATCAGTATTGCCGCCCAGCATTGCACAACTCCTGTTCATTGAAAGTTTACGAAGGACTAATTTGCTTTTTTCTCTAAAATTAAAGTTCAATATATGAGCGGCTATAAAGTAAAATTACCAGCAGCAGGAGTGATGCAAACAAGACCAGTGATCATGCCTTGTACAGCACCGATCACAGAAGGTTTTCCAAAGAAGCAAGCGTCGAGAAGTAGCCATGTAAGCAAACTAGTGGCTGTGCAAACATGGGTGTTAAGGACTGCTAGAGATGAAATAGTGCTGACAGCGAAGGGACCTCCACCATTGAATCCACTCCACCCCATCCAAAGCAAGCCTGCCCCCGCAAGCATCAGAATTAAATTGTTTGGTGGGAACATCTCTCTGTCCTTGTCAATTCTTGGACCCACCTGGATTAATTTAGAGCAATGAATTGCCAGTTTTAGTCTTGAAATTAAAAACTATTGGTTTCTTGAATTCGTCAATGTTTCTTGTGGGATTAATTGATCACGGAGTAATTTGTGATTTCAACGGTGTCGATTGTTTAGGCTAACATTTTAACAAATTAAGCCAAATTTTTAGTAATTTTGTTCTGGGCTTACCCAATATGCTGCAGTGAAACCAGCAACACCAGCAGAGAGATGAATAACGTACCCTCCTGAAAAATCAATTACCCCAAGCTTGGCCAACCACCCATCCGGACACCATATGCTAAATGCAGTGATCGTGTAAGAAAATGTTAGCCACAGGGGCACAAACATGATCCAAGCAAGGAAATTCATCCTTCCTAATAGACTACCAGCGATCAGAATCAACGTGATGCACGCGAAAACGCCTTGAAAGAACACCATTGTGGCTGTTGGAAAGTATCCTAAAAATGCTTGCCCAAGCAAGAACTTCTCGTCCAACGCAACCGCAGGTTTTCCGAGGAAAAACACAAGTTTTTCACCAAATGACATGCGGAAACCCCACCCTACCCAACATACAAGAACCATTGCAAAAGCATAGAAGGCCATGAATGCTGAGTTTATGGCCCATTTCTTTTTACTAAGCTGCCATAGAGAATCACAAGGCCTGGTATGCTTTGAAGTCCCACTAGTGTAGCTGCTGTGAGCTGCCACGCATTGTCTCCTTTGTTCATCCATGCTGGGTTAGCCTCATCAGGCAGCAAGTTGGAGGGCAGCTCCATCTTATCTCTTGAGTATTAATTGTTAGGTTTGGTTGCGTTTTTGAATCAAAAGCAAGAATGGTAAAAGGGAAAGAGAAGTGTTAATTTCTATATATGATTGAAGAGGAGAGAAAAAGATAGTAATTGTTTGTATGTTTTTGCCTGGAATGTTGTTTTTGTGTATTTAGGCCGGCCAGGAAGGCAATTTGGCTGTAGCTTTGAACTTTCTGCACCAGAGAACAGGAGAGGAATATCTGACTCGGTAATAATCTATATTTTGAGAAGATACCAACAATGATGGGTCATCTAGCTAGCAAGCAGTCGATGACAAGAAAAATGGTGTTTTTATGGCATGCTAAATTAATTATTCATTATTGACGTTAGTACGGATATTAGCCAACATACATTGGAAACAAATTCTCTGAATCAAGTCTTGCTTAGTCTTGACTAGAGATAGAGAAAAGGCTAACCTAATTGGCTGCAAAATTCGGCCTTTACCAGTTTGGTCATTTACTACTTTGGCTGTATACTAATTACTTAATGATTGATGAACAGTTACATTTTAATTAATTACTGTTGTCGATTTCATTAAGTTGGATTTGGAATTTGAACTTTGAACCGTAATTAGATTTGAATATATGTTCACAAGAGAATAAGGTTTCAAAGTAAGAATTCAATCAATTCATTTTTTTCAACGAACAAGTCATTATCTTTTAATAATATTATTTGAAAATTGAATTATATCTTTATTTCTTTGTCCTTTTATATCTCGGTTTTTTCTATTTTTTTCTTGAACTTCATATATGATTTAATACCCTTTTTATCTCTAGAATATTATTATTGTTATTGTGTTCTACTTTAGTATATATGGTATACTAATTACCAACCGATTTTGTTCCACATACACCTTGTAAGTCTTATGTACAGCACCCTTACATTTATCACATACCACATGCATATAGCTGGATTAACCTTTGGAATGGCATTAATGGTTTCCAAATTAACAAATTTAGTGCAAGCATGGGAAGGGTTGAGGGTAAATATCACCTTGCAATTAGGGATGATAGTTTGTCCCGTCACGTTGCCGCCCTGCCTTGTAACATTTAATTCGGGGATGGAAGTCAAAATTTTGCCTTGAACATGACATGAGATGAGAATGGAACAAATTCTTTTAGGATGGGACGGGATGGGGATGGCTATCCCCTCTATCTCCACCCCCTCATTGCTATCCCTACTTGCAATCATCATATTTCTCATAATAAGCCGGGCAAAAGTTTTGCAATCGGTTATTTCTTCATTTTTTTTAATTGATATATATATATATTTGTTTTGTTTAGCACTATAAAAGGGTACAAAATGGGCAACAGGGAGTAGTCTAATTTTGGGGAGAGATGATGTGAGGAGAGGATCAAAAGTACTTGAGAGTCAGATTCTGGGTTTGATCTCAATTATACACAAAAAGAACCAAGGCTACAACGTATGAGCTTTTCCCTTCTCTTAAATTCTTCACTCATGTTTGATTATCAATAACAAAATTATGTTGCATTAAAGAATAATATTTCAGATTACAGAAAAAGGAAAAGAATGATCAGAAAGTCATGTTCTATTAACTGCTATGCTTAACGCCTAGTAATTGGACTGATCTTCAGAGATTTGTTTTGGCATGATTACACTTTACCCCAAGTCACTAGTCTGTTCGGCCTTTATATATGCAATCAACGAATAGAATTGAAGGACAAAAAAATAAATTAAACAGCTAATTCGGTCTTTGGCCTCTTCTCTTGTCTTGGAGTGGAGAAATTTTAAATTACTCGAGAGTAATTAATAATTCTTATGCCATAAAAAAGATAAATATTAAAAAAAATTAAAGAGGTAATTTAGATAAAAATATTTTTTTATTTTTAATAGAAATCACGTTCGAATTTACAAAAAATTATAAAAATATTTCTCCTTAGGTTAATTATTTTAATTCTCTTTTTTCTATGGATCAAGTTGGATTGCATGGAGAATTTTTTTTCTGCTAGGCTGATGCCCATTGAAATACCCTACTCCATCTGCATTTTATTTTTAAATTATTTTTTAAAAAATAAAATTTAAACTAAAAAAAAAACTTGCATCTCCATTCACCAATCATAAAACTATAAAATGGAGTCTAAATTCAAATTCATACATAAAACCATAAAAATCCTCTATAAATCATTAAAAATATATATATATTATTTTGAGAAATAAAATAATAATTCCAAAAAAAAAAAACAATAGAAAAAAGTTAAAAATCGGAATCACCTGCTTTTGCATCCGACTCTGATCAAATTAGGTTGGATTTTACTTGTATTCGACTCTGATAAAATCGAATTGAATTTTACTCATCAAATTAAATTAAATTGGATGAGATGACACCAAACTCTCAAGATTCGGATGAAAATCATTCCTAATAGAATTTTTTTTTATGAGAAAAGAGGTAGAAACTGGAGGAGGCACTAGAGAGAAAAACTTTTTCATTACATATGATAAACGGAGGGCCATGATTTCTAGGTGAAAAATAAACTGTTAGGAAGAAAGGAAAATACAAATATATTTACCTAAAAAACAAACCTAACACGACTAGTTACAGCAGCAAGTCCAGTTCTTTTTTAATTAGGTGCAAAATAGATCGACGAGAAATTCACAACTCTTTAAGGTCAAAGTGCAAGTGAAAGTAGGAAAAATTTTAAAATTCATCGACAAATCCTAGCAAAATCCAATGATAAATGAGAAGAAACACGAGACGTAAAAAAGGCAAGAAGGACTGAGATGCAGCTAATAATAGGAGAAAAATACTAATGAGTCACAATAAACAATGAACTCTTCATCTGTTTTATTTATTTATTCTTTTTGTAATATTTGGCAGTAGCTATAAGCTCTGTGTTTTTATGCCTCACATGTGCAATATCCGGTGGTAACAGGCCACTAAATAGTTGAATTGAGGGCTCATAATATATATATTTTTTTCTTTTATCTATACTATACAAAATTTCTTCGCAATAACCAAAATAAATTTCCAAAATTAATAACTTTTTCATTGCAGGTAATTAATGAAATAGGCTTCAACATCTGACAACTACCATACAAAATCATTTAAAGAAAAAACCTCATCAAAGAAAGGAATTTCATGAATCTAAGAAGATGTTAACGATTAAGATGATCGCAAGTTAAAATCTCCATTGTATCGTCTTTGGTATACACCACTTCCCATATAGACAAGATGCCCACATGAGTTTACGGGAATAAATATGGCTTTGAGCACATACTTTCCATCATCTCGAAACTTGTTCATGCCTACCTCTAAGATATTACGACCTTCGTGACTTCCCACAAAACACCTATTGAATCGTTCAAAGTGATGGTCAAGCCTATGTTCTTGAGGTCTCAATCTGCTTTCAGGACCTATATTGCGCTTCAAATGGCCTGCTTCAGGAAATGTGTCATCGGAGTGGTTGCTACCAAATGATGCGGCAGATTGAGAGAGACAATGGAGTCTATTAATTCTCAAAAACCCACGAAACAAAAAAAACAATCATAGCTGAAGGAAATCACCCAAAACACCTTAAATTTTATTATTTCAACGTTTGTTCTTGCCAAAGGATATTACAATCGCTTAAATAAAAAATTAAAAAATTATAATAATGCTGAATATAAAAAATAAAAATAGAATCCTAAAATAGTAATTATTTTCTTATGATACTTATCTAATTAATAAAAAGTAAAATTTTAACAATAAAAATAAATACTACAGTGAAAATAATTGAAGCAATAATAAATAAAAAAATTGTGTCATACGTCAAATTATAACTCAAGCGTCAAGCACGTTATATAAGTCAAGGTCTAAAAAGCGAGGAGCAATTATATTAGCCGGGTCCATAGCTTCGGCTGTTTTTTCACAGTTTTCAGTTTGATAGATTGACCAATCTATAACCATAATGTATGAAGTATTAATTAGACCAGCTAATCAAATTGCGACTACAATTATTATAAAAGACAAAAAGAGAAAAATAAATTTGTGACTAGGATCTCGCTTGTTTGCTGGAAAATAAATTTGATGGAAAATTAATTATAATGAATACTAACAATATCACATTGTTATTGAAATATTAAGCCCAAGTGATGATTAATTAATTCTTCAAAAAAAATTAAAAGGTACAAAGTTATGATATATATTAATAGAGCTTCTAGGTTATATTTTACTTTGTTTTTTTGTGCCATTTACAATGTTTGGAAAAATATATTGTTTGATTGTAACTTTTTAAGAGATCACTGCATAGCCCCATTTCTACTATGTTCGTGGAAATTCTCTCATGGCCCCAATTCTTGTGGCGTTAACCCTTCTTCCGAGAAAGAAAATATTTCTTAGGATACCCTGTGCCCCGATTCTTCGATTAGCACTTGTCTGAGTCTGGGTTTGAAGTTAATAATGAATACTATTTAATGGTGCTGACTCCTCTAAGTGCACCAGGAATACATTTTTTATGTGAGAAAACTCAGGAAAAAAAAAAACACAAGACATGTGCTATGGTTGCTGCCATATATTAATACAACAGACATTTAATAGATTACTTGAGATTTCTATTACAATGTCTTAGATCGATAATGGGAATGGTAGAAAGAAATTGGTTTTTTTCCAAAAAGCAAAATGATATTATTCTTCCTAACGCTTAAACAAGACTCCAAAGGACGACTCTTGAGGTATTAAACCAATAGTAATACGTCAACTTTTATCCACTTATGTGGACAAAAATAACGTGAAATATATGAAATTTTTGTCACATATAAGGTTTGCTCTATAAATAATCAATGGTCCGGGTCAACTAAATGGTAAGACCAGACCAAAATATACAACCTTCAACCATCACCACAATTATTCACGATTTATTCTGCACCGTACTAGACTTTTGAACACTGATTGATCATGTCTTTGAAAACCAAGTTGCAGAAAGGTTCGTGTACTTTAGAAAATAAATTTTGTCCGCTATTATGTTAGTCATGTTTTGACCAACAGTACTAAAATCTTTTTCTATGTATGCCTTAGGTAAGAGGTAAGCTGTACCCAATTAGCTTTCACATTTTCCATATATAAAAATTGGAGCCTCTGGTTAGGTAGCTTCGTGAAGAGATTACAGTCTAAGCATCTATATATTCCTATAAATCCTGTGCGTGTGCTTTTACAAAATCAAGAGAGTTGTCTAATTCCATAGAAAGAACCAAGTATGATAGATGTATTAAGCGAAAAGCAGATTGTTGAGTTCCAGGAAGCGTTTTGTCTTTTTGACAAGGATGGAGATGGTACGTACATATACTACACTTGTCTACACGTTCCCCCTTCTTTTTCTTTTGTTTATGGATTTGTTATAGTCAAATTCTTATTCTGCAGAGAAAATTTGCTTGCTTATCCTGCTTTTAAAACAGTTTATTCAAGTTCTTACAGTATCAAGGCAAGCTTAATGGTGTTTATTAGTAATTAAAGTCCATTTGTGAATTTGGATTTTCACTATTTGACTAGTAAATTTGGTAGGAGTATTAATTAATACAGAAATGAAAAGAAAAGAAAAGGCAAAATATTGTACTTCATCCTTATATATATATATATCAGGTTTGATGAATCAAATATATGATGAAAATGTTTGAAGAAGTAGAGGTTCATAAGGCCCTCTAGCATTCTATAGATAATTTAAATAAGAAAGATTCTGATTTATATAAACAGGTTATAGGGATCATCTACTCTACTGACATCTTGATGCATGTATATTTGTCAGGCTGCATTACCTTTGAGGAACTAGCTACTGTAATCAGATCTCTTGACCATGGCGCCACAGAAGAAGAGTTACATATTATGATCAGTGAAGTTGATGTTGATGGCAATGGAACCATAGAATTTGGGGAGTTCTTGAATCTAATGGCAAGGAAAATGAAGGTAATGCATTAATTTTATGTACACATTGTCAATTTGTCAAACCTTGCCAATATTGTCAGCGAAAAGTACATGTTTTGAAATTAAAAAGCCGTGGGGAAAATTGCACGTTTTTAGGAAAATGATGCAGATGAGGAATTGAAAGAAGCTTTCAAAGTGTTTGACAAGGATCAAGATGGTTACATTTCACCTAATGAGGTTTGATTTTCTATCACACGCTGCCAAAATCAAAAACTGATGTTAGACTACGTGAATTTTTTTCAGCATATGACTAATTAAGAGTTTATATGCTTTCACTTTCATCTTGCAGTTGAGACATGTAATGATCAATCTAGGAGAGCAACTGACAGATGAAGAGTTAGAGCAGATGATTCGGGAGGCTGACTTGGATGGAGATGGTCTGGTTAATTATGAGGAATTTGTGAGAATGATGCTGGCTGTTTGACCAAATTTTCTCTCCGACCTACCTATTAGTGCTTATGATATATATATGATTCTACATACAAAATGATATATATAATTCTCAGATGGATTAGATGGATGCATGATCTGCATAATTCTAATATATATGTAAAACTTGGAATTTGGAGAAACAATATACACATTTACTATTATTGATCGTACTGTTGTATTTCTTAAGATGTGATTCTTGAATTTAGATAGTAAAAACTAATAAACATGAACAACTAAATATGTTTATTTAAGTTTAATAGCATATGCTATGCTATTCTATCAGTCAATTAAACTATATCAAGTTAAAGGTAAAAAATAAATTTCATTTAATTTAATAATTTTAGTCAAAATTTTGTATTTTATTTATTCATCTTTATGTTTTTTGTTAATAAATTTATTGTTAAAAACATGATTTGTTCTTCATTATGCATTTTTTTCTTAAATAAAGATTTGTAGAAATATAAATAACAAATTTAATAATTTTTTAAAAAAATATCTTAATATGTTTTTTCATAAGATTGCATAAAAAAAAAAAGGAAGCAATAATTGTATAAAAAACTTGTATAAAAATTAACTAACGAATCTTTTTTAACTTTTTGAAAATATGTAAATTTAATTTATATATATTTATTTGAAAAAAATAATAATAGTAGTATAAAAACATGTATGTGAATTATTAGGTCGTTCTTCTAAATATTATTTCAATTATTTTATTAGAAAAAAATTAATTTTAGAATATTAAAAAATATTAATAACAAATAGTTGGTGTTATGTGTATAGATGCATAGTTAATTAATTTTTAATAAAACCAATGATCTCAATATTTTTTAAATACATCATTATCATACATAGTAAGTCAAGTATGCAGTATAAACTGAAAAATAATTTTAAAAAAACTTAAGTTGTAACAAATATATTAAAGTTAACATAGTGTAATAAAAGCAATTAAAAAATTTGTTCCGATCAAATTTGATTATATCAAGAATATTATTTCTTAATTAGATATTAATCGTGTTTTGATTTTGGAACATAAAACAAAAACAAAACAAAAAATGAGAAAAGGAAAATACAAAAACAAAGAAGAAGAAAAATGGCATGGAATAATTAATTAGGGATATAATTGAAGAGAATAGGGATTGAAAGTGAAAACAACCAGATTTGAAATTGAAAGACAATTAGGGATGAAATTGAATGAAATAAGGACTAAAATTAAAATCCGATAGGGGGAAATTGAAATGAAAATCAGGAAAGTCATTGTTAAAAATTGAAACACTCAGGGACCAAACTGAAATTAAGAGAGCGAACAACAAGACCAAATTTGACCGAATGACCTGTCATTTGCTGCAACCCAAATCAATTATTTCCCTGGCTGTACTGACAATCATCTTCTTCACTGAAGACAAGCAACACAACAGACGATTCTTGGCTGGCAATTGAACCAACCAAGAATCGTGATATGCACTTGCACCACTTACACATACCCTGCACACACTCATATTTCACTTTGGTTCTGAATTTGTTTTGTTCACAAACGGTAAAATAGGGACAAGAGAGCTTGGAGTTTTAGATTTTAGTGGGGAATTGTTCTGATCGATCAAAAATGATCCTAAGGTGGGGAACCATTCAGAATTTGGCTATAAATTGAGCCTCAATGTGTCTAGTTCAAGATTGGGATTCGGAGAGGAATTTCTGGGTTTGAGTCTTCTACGTTCTGGAGAAGGAAGAAAAGCTTAGGTTTGAGCAAGGAAATGTAACATTTTTCTAGGTTTATAGAACCCCTTTTCAATCCCCACTCGTCTAGTCCAAGTCCTAGGTATGCCCAGAAATCGTTTCTGGGTCCTAAACAAGCAAGGAAGTCCTACCATTGCCACTAATTTTTACGTTCCTATAAACATAAGGGATATAACAACAACAGTACACCAAAGTCCAAATTTCTCAGTTGTTTTCAGTTTTTTCTATCCCATTCAGGTAACCTAAGTTCATTCATTATTCATTTCATCCAGTTTATACCCAGTGTTATGTTTTTAAGTTTCAAATCTTATGAGGAGGGAAATGGCAGTGACAAGGTCACTGTCATGGTGAGCCCCTGCTGCTCAACCTCCCTCAGGTTGTAGATGATGGGGTGATAAGGAGGCTTGGGTTATCCGTTTAACTTGGGGAGTTTGATTTCTGTTGGGAAGTTTCTGGGCAAAGAAGAAGAAAGGGAAAGTGAGAAGTAAAGGGCATTCGGGTCAGGAAGAAGTAGAAAGAGAAGGAAAGAAGAAAAGAAAAAGAAAAAAAGGAAAGTAACGGGTAAAGAAGAAAGAAAGAACGGGCCAGAAGGAAAAGAAAAAGAAAACCAGCTAGAAAAAAGAAAAAGAAGAAGAACTGGGCTGAGGCCCAGCCCAGCTGAGAAGGGGAAGAAAATGCTTGCATGAGTCCATAAAAACTATGACTAGATTGGCCGATTCCGACAATCGAGATGAAGATAATGTGGCTGCCACAACAACTCAAACCCCAAAATGATAGGCTGCATAACAAGGAAAGTGAGCTGGTTGGAAATATTGAAGCGGTTACAGAGAGCCTCTAGGCATTAATGAAGGATTCTACACATTGCCTTGGATGAAGGCCGGGATGGCGGAGTAACTCCCTCTGTCAAATTTTCAAATCAAATATACCTAGGTATTACTATTGGTTCCACGCTACGCTACAAATTAAGCAAAATATGTAAAATCATTTGAAAAATTAATTTTAATTTGATAGTATTTTATATTACAGGTTTTTAAAATATATTAAATTAAAAAAATCTAATTTTATAATTTATTATTCCTTATGTTTTTCATAAATTTTGTAGTGAAAAAACACGATTTGTTATTTGTTATTTATTAATTTTTAAATAAGAACTTACAATAATCTAAATAGAATATTTAATACAAAATTTTCAAACATGCATTAATTTTTGTCATAAAATTGCATAAAAAATAAGCAACAATTAATATAAAAGTTGATAAATGAATATTCTTTTCATTCTTATTTAATGACGAGAATATTATTTTTTTAAAAAATATGTACATTTGATTTATATATATTTATTCACAAAATACTCAATACTATTAATATAAAAAGTTGTACTTGAATCATTGAATGGTTCTATTAAAACATTATTTTAAAGAAATTGATTTTAGAATATTAAAAAAATTAATAATAAATAATTAATATTATTATGTAGATGCATAATTATAAAATTAATTATCTCAATTTTATATGTGCAACTGAAAAGTATAGTTCATTAACAACCATTAACTCCGATTTCCTTGGACGGCCCACAATCCTTTAATCATAAGGATTTTAACGCAACCCATGCCATAGCCCAATCACAATCTGACAAGACTGAAAAAACTACCAACCAAAACCCACCCTCTCCGGTTAAACACCAATCCTTCTCCACCAGATACCAAAATTTTCCAGCCCAAAAGAAATCACTAACCACCTCATCTGATAGCCCAAAACCCATTGATAATATTTCTCTTAACACAGCCCACTCTTTACCCCCATCCAATCCCGAAAATTTTCCTAACAGGAACCCAAATTCCCCAGTTCAACATCATTCAAATTCAGCCCTGTCCCTCTTGTGGAAAAGTGGAAAAAGTCCACCTGTGACGCACGCAATCCAACTTCAGAGAGTTTGTTACCACCAACTCTTGGAAAGCGAAAAAGTGGAGTCATTGTTTTTAAAATAAGATATTTCTAAATTTTATCTATAAAAATAAAATTATGCTAGTCCTATTTATTAAAACAAAATAATTTTTGTTATGTATATATCAAATCATCTATACGTATCGGTTTTTTAATATTAAATTATTAATAATTTAAAAAATAAATATTATTTATAATACATCTATTTCATTAATTATAATTATAAGATTGTATTATTGGTAAAGGATTTATCAAATGTAACGTAGCTTTGATTTTCTTAGTTTGGCTTTTGTATGATCTGATACCTGGCTTTCTTGGAATGAGAAGCATGTTATGTTTTTTTATTCATTGCCTTTTTTTTTAATTTTGAATTTTTCTTGGCGTGTCTCTCCAATGATTTTTCAGTCAATATTTTCAATCAAAAGTAATATATGGCGCAAAAAAAAAAATGCATGTCATGAACGTGTCAAATTTATTTTTTATGTAGAAAAAAAAATCATGAATCATGACCAGATCAATTAGAATTAAATTGAACATGATTGAAACTATAAGGACTATTATGGGATTTGATTCCTTGTTGAATGAAAGCCAATGCTTTTACCAACTCTTTGATTTTTTTTCTTTTTTTTGGGTTATTTCTAAAGATCTTTGTCACTGACCGAATCTTCTTGTTTTTTTTTATTTTTTAGGGTCTGCGATATCGCATAGTTTCGGCTATTGAAAATGGGGTTGATCGTGTGTTTTTGCTATTTTAGAATATACTAATTCAGCTTTCGTGGCCGTTGTGGGTTTGTTGAATTTTGTTAGGAAGGTGTTTGATAAAATGTCTGTAAGGGGTTTTGCGGTCCTACATACAGTTCAATTTTTGAAAAGATCATCATGGTTGCTGGCAGAGCTGGCCACCAGCCTCTGCCTTCTCTTCTGGAGAGAAAAGATCTGCTCCTTTTAACAATAGGATTAATCGTATACAGTATCCTTTTTTACTTCTTTATGTTTTTAATGCAGCCTCTATATATATTTTTTTTAATTTAAAATCTTTCTTTACTCTTGAGTTTTTCTCAATGTAACCTCTCTAATAGTTTTTTTTTTTTTTTTGACTAATTTTTCAATTAAAAGTGACTGGTGGTAAAAAAAAAAAAAAAATCACCCATTATAACATGTCAGATTTAATCTTTACTTGAAAAAATGAAAAAAAAAACAAAAATTCGTCACGTGTTATGACCAGATCAATTGAGACTAAATTGAACATGATTAAAAACTATAAGAATTAAATTATAAAACTGCCATCTTCAACTTCCTTCAAACTTCAACTTCAGC